TGTGCGCTGCTGTTGTCCCACCGGCGGGGTCCGGTACCCGGTGTGCAGAACGCCGGTGTACACACGGAGTCGAGGTGTTTTATTTCGTTGATGCGCATTAATGGGTGTCTGTCCCGAGACGGCACACCTGACCTCAGAGTTTCCATAATTGCACACTTAACTAATACTTATTCGTCATTCCTTCGGTGATTGGTTCTTCTTCCCCCCTTCTAATGCAAATTAGCTTGCAGCCTCTATCGGCTTCTTCTATTGTCCTTTTTGAGTAGGTGGTATCATTTGGGGAGGCGGTCAATGAGTCCGTGGTCACGGTCTCCCCTTGCCGGAATTACCTTTTACTTCCTTCTTCTGCAGTCTTGGCAGTCCCAAGCAGTCTTCACGGTTTGCTGGCCAAACCACAATCCATCGCCTTCTCTGACAGAGCTGCATTGTCTGATAGCTAGCTCCTGAATCCAGTCTTAAATCATGTCTAGTTACTGTTTCACCAAAATTGGATCAGGACCAGACAAAGGACTCTTATCAGCTCCCCAGTTTCTTCAATACCATTTTACATTTCATTAATATCAATGATAACAAAAGCACCTCGATATATTTGAAGAAGCTCCAATGCTGTGGTAGCCCTGTGTATAAAGCAGCTTGTTTTCTTCTGTACTCGTGTTTGCTTTCTAAGGCTGGGCTGCCGAGCAGAAGAGAGACCTGGTGGTAGGTGAAATGCAGTGACGCAGACTCCAGTACTACCGGCTTTAAATGTTTAAGACTTGCAGTATTCTTGTGGTTTTCTGACACTGTAAACAAAGATCTCTGAATGGATAAATAGTTCTAAGTAGCATGCAGCCCGAATTAGTGAAAAATGTGTTTGAACAAGATCTGTGGAGAATAACTTTGCAGTTAAACAGCAGGACTCCTACCATCTTCTCAGTAATGTGGTTCTGGAGCTTTCCTTAAACTTCCCTTTTGCTTTTCAACATCAAAATTCAGGGTTCAATGCTGACAGTTTAATACTGGCAATTTGTTAAGTGCAGAGTGACTGAAGTAATATTATGGTGCTTGCTGATTCTAGCAGATTTTTCTTTTTTAGCCAGAGATATGTGTGTGAGGGGGGGAAAGTATGTGAAAAATCCTTCAGATTTATTGAAATGTTTTAAGATCTGTTGAAGTGTTTTAATTTGAATCAAAATAAATATTTAATTGTAAGTTCTTTATTTTAGTAACTTGAAGGTGATTTTTAAACAAAAAAGTAGCTTTGAGTTTAAAGATTTAAGCATTTCATTTTAGAATGTTAAAGAGAACAGTTCTTTGAATTTTATGATAGCTTTTCCAGAGAATGCAGTTGTGTCTGTGTTGCAGCAATGTCCTGAGCAGCTCCCTGCTGTCCCTGGCTTCACATCCTTACCTGCACTGTGCCAGTTTTAGCTGCTTCACAGTGATGTGGTAACTGGGTGGAAGGGCTGTTCCAGAGGGAAAAATGACCAAAATAACTGTTTTGTTTGTTACTGGGTTATCTTGCAGCAGGACCTATTTCCCCATGTGGCTGCACAAATGCTTGGCTGCTCTATTGCGGGCATAGGGTAGGGGAATGTGATCTGTAGTAGTGCCACAAGTGTGAAATGATGTGAAGCTAAATGTGTGTGCACAATCATTTTTCAGGTGGCTAGGAGTGATCTCTTTGTTGCCTGATTGTAAGAGTTTCAGTGAGTTTTCTGTAATACTAATTAATTTAAGTATCAAGTACCTTTAGATTCAAATTTTCAGTCTGCTGCCTGAGCTTTAAGTTAATAGATTAAGCACAGTTTATTTGTGGAGGAAATGTGTGATTTTATGTGATTTTTGTGATGAAGAAACCATAAATAACCAGGAGTTTTAAATAGTGCCCTAGCCCTTCTCAAAAATCAAAAAGGTAATGTTTGACATGTACTTATCACACTTGGTTTGCACATAATTAGGCCTAGACAGTTGTAACTAATGGGGTTTTTTGTAGGCTTACAAAATTCAGCCTTGCACCCTATTTGTAACTTCTGATACTTTTTTCTTTTTTTTTTTTTTTTTTGAAAAAAACTTCCTGTGTCATCTAGCAAAGTACAGAAACTCTTCAGCACAAGCAGCGTGCTTTCTACTGAGAAGGATGAATCTGCCCCTTCCAAAGACAGCACCACTAAAGTGGCATCAAAGGGTCAGGAGAGGACAGCAGAAACACCAAAGCAGAAGTTGTTAGACGTTATTGGTGATATGAAAGTAGAAGTGAGCTACAGGAAGAAACTCCAACAGTTAAAAACACGTGATGTCGAAAAGCAAGCCATAAACATGCTGGAAGGCCCAGGCAGCGAAGGTACTGTGCCTCAGAGAACTACAGAAGACATCCAGCGGTAAAGTATAACAACCTTTTCTTAGCCTGTTTTCTCCTTTTTTTCAAATTGTATTTTTCATTATCTAGGACAAAATAAAACATCAAATGCCATTTCGAAGTATGGAAAAGAATCTTGTGAGGGAATGTGGTGTACAGGTGTACATTGCACTAAATTGCAGGGGAGAATCTGGACGAAAGATGGTGTATACTTTCTACCATATGCTACCTCTTGCTGCACTGAGACTCTTGAAAGGTGGTGCTAGCATCTGCCTGTGGAAAGTTATTTTGATGGGAGAGGGGAAATACTGCTCAGATATAATAAAACAATACAATAAAACTGAGGAAAAAGGAAAGAAAGAATTTAAGAATGCCATCGTGATTGTCAAGTCTTGCGAGTGGCTCCTCTCCACAGTGTAACCTCATGCTGTAACCCCACAGGTCTATTCAGCCCGTGGTCTTCAAGCTCACGCCCAAGGAGCTATGCAGCGGCCTAGGGCTGCCATTTTCCCAGGTTTGAGAACAGGAGCTTGTCAGTGTCGTTTGGCACTTGATGATTAGCGCAACACAGGGCAAACCTGGCTGTCCTCCTGGCCACCCCCACTTGGGGTGATGTGTAACTGTAACTGCTGAGTTATTAAGACATAAAATGACAGTATAAAAATGACAATTTAAATATGTTAAAGTGTTTATTTTCTTGTATTTTCATATCTATTGTGTCTCTTACAGAGGCAAGCCTTTAAATCCAGAACTGGTGGAGGCTGCTTCTGCAGTCGCGTCTTCCCTCCCACTCAACAAGAAACAGACAGTATCAGATCTACTTGCACAATTAAGAAGACACGAAGAAACCACAGATAAACAGAAAAAGGGGAAAACTATTAACATACGGTGTGTTTACTGCATGTTATTCTCAATAATGTTTGAAATTCTGATTTTGCAGTTTCATCTTGAAGGTGGATGGATGTGTTCTGTATTGGAAAGATGGCCTTAAAAGATAGTTTTGGACAGGTTATCCTTGGAATTAATGAATATGGGGAACATCATTGGTCTGGTTATACCAAACACCCTGAATTTTGCCATCGTCGTTCTAAAATGGTTTTGCAGAAATGGAATTGTTTTCCTGCCCAGGATATTACTTTCTTGGACAGACTAGCAAAATAAGAGATTTTTTTTTTTTTTTTTTTTTTTCCCCCAAGCTTCCAAAATTCTCACACAATGGATGGATTTGTAGACGTTTCAGACATTCTGTCTGGACTGGTGAATTTTCGTGACAGCTCTGCAGAACTGAACTAGAGCAGCTCTATTTATAGCCCCACCCTTCCTTTCAAAACTTTCCAGTCAACCCAAGAAACTCATCTCTTGGCTTAACTCTGTTTCCAGTGTGGCTTTCAAACAGATGAGAAACATTTGTTTGGAAACTGAAACAGTTGTGCACACTGCTCTTTTGGATGATGACTAAAGACAGATTTTTCATTCTCTTTTTTTTTCTCTTTCGGCTAGTGTTCACATAGCTACTCAGAAAATAAGGCATTAAATCCAGGTAATGCTGAACTAAACAGCAAATTCGATCTTCAGCAAAATAGGAATGTGAAACCTTTGTTTATGGCTGTTTGCAGTGTGAACTGCAAGCTGCTTATCTTAAGTTTTAATTTATTCTGTGAAAATGAATTTGTCCCAAACCAGGATTTAAGTTTGACCTATGTATTATTATTTGTAGATTGCTCTAGGGATCAGTAAAGAGTCTGCTTTGTGTGTTTATCGATGTACTGCAAACAGAGCAGCTGACAAACTAATGATGTTTGCAGCTGATGTCTGCCTTTTCAGTGAGTGAAAACTGAGGAGGAAGGTGGCAGATGCTTGCAAATAGGTTGAGTTGGATGGTTGCAAAGAGACTGGGACATACAGTGCTCGGTGAATAACTCCATTAAACAAAATGGATGCTCTTCAGGGGTTGTGAAGGGAAAAGGGAGAAACTATGCAAGTTTCCCTTTTCACCTGTGTTCATGATTCTCTACCAAGAGTGCTAATGATGGCTGTGGAGAGCAGAATGAAACTCTCTCCGAATGTGTGAAGTCTGTGCTATTTGAGAAGGAAGTATGGTTTTAGGTAGTAAGCGCAAGCATCTCCAAAGGCTGTGTGTGTGCTCTGTTTTCATGATGTCCTTTCAGCCTGGATATAGGAGATCTCAAGAACTTGACAGAAGCCTGTCTCTCCACGGGCTCTTGGAGCCAAAATGAGTAGCTTTAGAGGTTAGAGGTCTGGCTGTTTCATGTAAAATTGATACGTTTCTGCATTTTTTTAAATTTATTTTTAGGTTGTTTTTTGCGTATGCAGTATTACCAAAAACTTAAGAGACACTCCTAATGCAAGGAGAATAAGTAAGACCTATTTTATATAAAGCATATGTTCATTAAACTGTTAGTTACTAGTGAGGTTGTTCCATCTCTGTCACTGGGGTTTTCAGAAGAGCAAAGTACACAAACATCTTAATAGTGTCATTGGCTGTGAGTGGGCAACTTAAAAGTAGTTAGAGGCTAGTACCTGATAAGATGTTGGGGGACTGTACTGATACTGAGCTAATAAGTGCAGTGGCTAACCTCATGCTTGCCTGCAGCTATTCCTTCGGGTATACATACCCCTCTAAATGTGGTGGTTCTGCCTGCTGGCATCAAGGGTTCGCTGTCCTTGCCACACGTTGCACTTTCCCTGAAGCACTTATCTGGCTGTGGCTGCTGTGAAAGAAAGAAGGTGTCTAAGGAAGTTGTAGTCTAAGCAATAGGGTTTTTTCTCTTGAAAGAGAGTTTAAATTCTTCAGAAATTTGAAAGCTGAAGTCCCTGCAGCTGTGTGGTGCCTCTGTGTACTTGATTGATAGGTTAAGATCTGCTATTACAATATTTTATAACATGCTTGTGGATGAATCACTATGGTTAGAAAAATGCATTTTCCTCAACCAAAACCAGCCTTTTTGGTTGGCTAGGAATGTCATGGCTGGCTTGCTCTGCTTTGAGTTGGCAAGTTCTACTTCCTGAGGCAGCTTTGTGAATAGCTTACTTCCACCTGGGAATATATGTTAATATTTTTTTTTTTTATTATACACTGAAAAGTTCCGTTTTCTTCCTTAATAGTTAGGTAACAATTTGAAACTGTCAAGGATGAGTTTCCTGGAAGGACCAGCAACTCCTGCTGGTTTTCATAACTGAAAACTTGGTTAATAGTAACCTTTCACAGTTAGATGCTGAGATCTCTTTGGTACTTTCGGCTTTCTGATCAGTGTTAAATGATTTAAGAAGTCCAGCAGAAGGCACTTCAGTGCTTTTAATATATTCGAAAGCAATTACTTTTATTCATACATGATTATTTTGTGTGGATTTTTATTTGACAACAAGAGCATGTGGGCAATTGAACTTTTCATTTTTTTTCCATAAAGGTTTTGAGTTCAATATACTGACAAATTTTAAAAGCCAATATATATTCCTGTTATTTAAAACTGTGTAAAAATGAGATATCTGCACAAGCAGTAGAGCCATATAATGCTCAGCTGCAAAAATTTGGGATATTGCTATCGAGATTTATGAGGGTATGAAATAAATTGTGCATTGTCCGACTTTTGGTTCGTACTACTGTTTTTCACCAGGATTGTGGCCTGGCCTCTAGAGGTCACTGTTGTATGCAGCCGTCTCGTCACCTCGTTTTGTAGGCAGCATGAGGACACCGTGTTCGCTAGGAGGGGAAAATATTAACGATACAGGAATTTTATTTTTCTTAGTGTGGGATGAAGTTTCACTCTGTGGAAATTACAGCAGCATTACACCAAAATAAAATCTGCAGCCCTACAAGTTGAAATTTCAGCTCCTGTTTTGGGTGAAGAAGAGTGGTAATTCAGAGCTTAGGCTAAAGTATATCCAAAGCTCCTCAGGTCTCCATTTTTAGTATTATAGTTATTGGTTGGTAATCAGGAAGGAGAGACAACCTGTGGCTGTTACAAAAGCTCTACCTCTTCCCATCTCTGGAAGACAGAAGTATCTAGGAACTTTGTAATCTGATGGGTTTTGTTACAAAAGGCATTGAAATCGTCTTTGTAGCTTTATTTTTAGTTAATACAGGGGCACTTTTAATGATGGAGTGTTGAATGTTGCTGCCAGAAATGTACATACACCAATGATGGGGTGACATTAGGACTTCCCAGTGAGAAATATGATACCATTGACTGCATGTTCTGATAGCTTGGTAGCATAGTCTGTCCAGACCTGCTGTGCAAAACCACAAATAAATCAAGGCTAGCTGTGAGGAGAGCTTCTCTGAGCAAGCCTGATCCCCCAGAAGCACGGGAACACTCCAGCCTTTTAGGTCGCAGCTGAGTCAAGCAGTTGGGCTGGGCTGTGCATGGCTGACCTTAGGAATTGTGTCCTCTTGACCCTCAGAAGTGTGTCAAGCCGCTGGCCCAACACCAACTCACTAATGCCAGTAGGCACTTCCTAGAGTGATTTCTAGCGTGAGATACGCCACTAATCTGAGATTGGTTTTTATTTAAGATTAAAATGAAATTATTTAAAACTTGTTTTCAGATGCCTTTCTTTCAGAGTAGTTTCTTTAAGAGCTATGCTATTCTTGTTCTGCCATTTGAAAGCACATCTAAGACTGGAGAGAAATCCTACTGTGTTGCTGTGGCAATTAGCTTTTACAATTTTCCAGAAGTATTTCTTTCTTGTCAGTAAAATCTCTGTTGACTTAAACTGCCAAAAACATAGTTTGAATTTCATTCAGATTTTCATAAAACTTTTTGACTTGGCCTATTTTTAGTTTTTGAGACCGTATTTAAATCTTAAAACCTGGGTGCTGTGATTTTGGATGACTGTATGTTACTGGAATCATAGAATGCATTGGGCTGGAAGGGACCTTTAAACTGGAAGCAGTTGGGCGGAGCGGGTAGCTGTGAGGAAGAATTACCCGCCTTGTCTTTACCAACCACCAACAGACTTAGCAGTTAAGGGGACTGATTGGCGGAGCAGAAAGGTGGTGTGTTTTGCCCTCTGTGTTCAGAATGAGCTGCATACAGCGCTGGAAGAGATCAGAGCCTTTGCTCTTTGCGTACGATTTTGACTACGGAATTACGAAGGAAGATGTGGTCTGTTAATGCTGTAATATGATTACGCAATGTGACAGATTGCAGTGGATCAGGAAAGGTGACCTACTTATTTGGGTGACATGATTGACCCATGTCAGCTGATGTGTGAAGGCAAGCTTCCTTTTGGTCTGCAGCAGCGCAGCTCTGTCCCGGGGCGGTGTTGGCTCCTGTCCAAAAAACTGGTGATTTTTACCTCCCTGTTCCAGCGTATTCATTGTATCCCAAGAAATTCCTCATTCGCTTAAGCAAAACATACCTAGCGCAGTCTGAATGTTGGTATGTAGATATATGAAATTTTTCTTTTAGTTAGAAACTAAATAATTTCAAAGAAAGTATTCATTGTAGATCAGTAGGCTAGAATAACACTTTTCATTTAACCTATTCAGAATGTAACAACTGAGGTGGTTTAAAAAGTAAGACATAAATGTTTGATGGCTTAAAAATGGGTGTAGCTTGTGAGGAATGTACAATTCTGTCTCATAGAGGCTTGTGAAACCAATTGAGAGTAGAGTTTCTGGTTAATAGATGTGACAAACTTCCTTGCTTTGTCAATTTGTTGAGTTTTTACATTCACGTTTTTAATTTCAGCAACGTTATTTCAGAAATGGCAGTTAAAAGGCAGTCCCCAGCTCAGAGAGGTGTGAGGATATCCAATCGTATTTCCTTGGACTTGGATGAGGATCGTCAAAGAATCAAGCCTGAAGGATTGTCACCTCCGTCTTTTGACTCCAGAAGGTAATTTTATTGTGTTCCCTTCCAGCAGAAGGAGTGTGCAATCAATTATTAATGGATAATATTTTAAATTTAGTTCTGTATATTTGTGTTCCATGGTACTTCAGAGCTTAAAGAAATTACTAAGTATTTTTCAAGAAAAGTACTGTTGGCGTTGCAATAAACTTCTGTGAGAATGCACTAGTTAATGTTAACCAGCTAATCAAATAATGCGCAGTCTTTTAATATTAAATTTTAAATAATTAAAAATACTTGCTGCTGAAGTGTAATTGTATTTATTTAGCTATTTAAATTACGCTCGCTTTTATATATATATATAACTTTATATCACTTTCTTAACTTTTTTGGGAAATTGAGGTTTTGAAGCCTTACTTTCATCTAATGGAAAACTTTTCTAAACATAGAACATTTATCAAAGTTTCATCCATTCTGTGGGGGGTTTAAAGAGATTTTAAAGTTATTTTAAAAAATTTTTTACCACCTTGTTGCATTTGATAAGTCATTCTGTAATTGATTTCTCTATTGTCTGTGACATTATAGTTGTCTATGAAATTAACTTTATTATTTATGTGGTGATTTCTGGGTACTCCATAAATTTATCCTGCTGCTGGTTTATGTGGCCAGTCTATTTCTTAATGAATTAAGGAATGCTCTTAAATTTTTGTTTTACTCTTCTGAGCTATGCTTTCTTGCCTGCAGTCTTTTGATTTTCCCATGGCAGCTTATTATCGCCTTCCTTCTCAGTAGATTCTTTCTCTAGCAGTTCTGTTTTTAGTAACATTAACTTCTCTAATCATTAATTTATTTTACAAATTGATCCCCTTTTCTTGGGCTTAGGGGCTGGAAGTTGAGGGAGTCATTTTGGTTTAGATAGGTAATACTGAAAACAGAATTTGGATAACTAAGAAAAAAAAAAGCAGCATACATTTATAAGTGAGTGGATGTACAATATTCTGCCCTCTTTGGCCAAGACATCCATTTCAATATATCATAAACACAGAATTGTGACTTCTCAAAAGGAACAAATTAGAACGTATGCATTGAGCCACATAGATCATGCAAAAAAGAAGCAGCTTATAGCCAGTTGTTAGAAGAACTTAACGCATTTGCTGAAACGTTTCTGAGTAACTCCCTTGTTCTCAAACTGCCAAACTGTTAAGGTGTGTTAGGGAAGTGTCTCTTGGGCCTCTTCAATGTTATCAGGCCAGCAAGCAGTGTTTTCTTTTCCTGATGCGAAGCTTGTAGAAAGTGCAAGAGGGGCTTCTTGTGATGGAAGTCAAAGGGAAGAAGTGGAACAACGTTCTTGACCAAGCCCTCCTGACTGAGATATTTGTGTCCCAGGGTTTTCATTCAGCTATAAGCTGCTGGTATGAGGAGCAAGGGAACTGACTTCCTTATCAGCTGCTGAATAGCTCTATAGATATTTTTAATACGGGGATAATTATCAGTCAGAGTTGGTAGTCACATGAAAGTAATTTTGTTCCTACGCTATGATTCTTGACTGACTGTGAGAAATACTTTATTTAAGGAGTTGGATTAAAAGTTTTTCAAAGTTTGGAAGAATACAAATAATATGTTCTAGAAGTATAAACTGAAAACCTGAGCTATTACGTGCTTGTACAGTGTATATTGTTGTATATCTTTTCTAAACTTTTCATCCATTAACATACTGCAAAGTAAAGTGAAGTGCACTTATGTTTGAGAACATTTATTAAATGTATGATATCTAAGAAGCTGTCTCACCCTCTTTGTGTGATGAAACTGTATGTAACTTCAGGAACAGTTCCTTAAAATAGTTTTAAAAATCTCTGTGATAAGGACACTGTCTCCAGTTTGAGTCCTAAGTTTCCTCCTGTATCCCTGAAAATCTAATGTGTATACTTATCTATCGATAGTATTAAAAGAATGGGTTAGGAAGAATATCTAAGTTTAAATCAAGTAGATTTCAATGAAATGAGTGATGTTGCTTTATAGTAATTTGAACTAGTCATTTTAAAATACGTGTTCTTCCAAGTCCTGCTTGTCTCTTCGGCCAGTGTTACTGGGAGTTACACACAGATAGGAAAATGCAATCCTAAATCAACATTCTTTTAAGGCTGTGTAATTAGGTTGCTCTGTGCTGAAATAGATCCAGGGTAGTTACATCAGTAAAATGTAATATGACAAGAGTGGGTTTGTAGAAGTAGTTGTGGCCATCAGAAAAATGCAGTGAATCTGGAGAGGTGAAATTTTAAGTTCAGGAAGGGCAAGTATTGCCAGAGTAACAGTGAATATATAATAACATAAAGTAGGAACTATTACAATTTCAGTGGAAACCTGGAAGGTTGTATGATTAAAAGAATCATTTATTCTAAGGTTCAGCATGTTCTACAGTAACGGCATTGTTTTTTCTTTATTTCATTTGTAAGAAAATTTATTTTTATTGCTTGTTGAACTCTTGGATTAAAAAAAAAAATATAGACTTAATGCTAAAGATAAACATGAATAAAAATAGATGGTTAGAGTGAAATATTTTTACATTCAGAAGAGAGAGCATCAGGGTGATGATGTTTAAAATATATCATACAGATATACTTTGAGTATTTGCCATATGGCAGAGAAGATGGCTGTGTAATCTTCCAAAAAGGCTATTTATGTCATAAAGCAGGAATTGTTTGATTTAGCAGTTGCCTTTTCTCTTCCTGGATTGTGCAATACTTTTACAGGGAAAAACCCCAAATCACCAGATTCACTTTTTAGTTGCAACTTTGTAAAATCACTTGAGTACTGTGGTTTGATACTGTTTAGCTGTGTTCAGATTCCTAAATACTTCAGTTAAAAGATGACTGCAAATATAATGTTTGAATTATGCTCAGTTCTTTCACATGGAAGTGTTTTGGGAAGCTCTGTTACAGACGAATAATAAAGTCATAAACACTTTGGTTAAAAGCCTGAGGATTTAGCGAGAGTCACTATCTCATTTTTTTCTCCCTCCAGAGATCTGTTAGTTCATGAGAATGTTTTGTGCTTTTGAATTTGTTATCTGGCAATGTTGTGAAGTGTTGTGAAATACTAAATATCGTTTTTCTTTTTGTTTATAGAAGTCTCAAAGTAGGAAGGAGGCTTAATATATTCACTAAGGCCTCTACAGAAACAGAAAAGGCACTGGAAACAGGTTAGTGAAAATTCAATAATGAAAATCCTAGTGAAGCCAAGTTCTGAATTTTTAGAATATCAAGGGATTCACTGTTCTGAAGGAGACTTACGACCTGTTAACTTCCTGTTTCCAGACCTATAAAAAAATGAATACTTTAATGTAACTCTGATTTTTAGTAAGCAAAACTTCCGTGCAGTGTAATAGATTAATGTTTTCTGTACTAATCAAGACATTCTGTTACTGAACTTGAGGGGTAAAACTGGCTTTTTATCACTAAGGCCAGTCTTCTGTGAGTGTAAAACCAATCTGGAGAATGGGTACGTTGGCTCCAGTAGCTTATTTGATCAAGTTGCATTAATTTTAGGGCAAAGAAACACAAGACTCTGATCCCAGGGAAACATGCATGCTTTACAGGTGGCTAAACATAAGCAGGGTAGAAGAAAAACAAGACTATGCATTCAGTTGCTTTGTGGTCTCCTCATGTTTGGTGTGGATATAGCTTGAAAGATCCTGTAAGTGACGAACGATGCCTTGCTTTACCTACTGTAAAACTTTTCGTATATGTTTATAATCATAGAATGGTTTACGTTGGAAAGGACCTTTAAAGGCCATCTAGTCCACCTCCCCTGCAGTGAGCAGGGACATCTTCAACTGGATCAGGTTGCTCAGAGCTCTGTCCAACCTGACCTTGAATGTTGCCAGGGATGGGGCTTCTACCAGCTCTCTGGGCAGCCTGTGCCAGTGTTTCACCACCCTCCTTGTAAAAAATATGTTCCTTATATCTAGTCTGAATCTACCCTCTTTGAGTTTAAAACCATCATTCCATATCACAACAGGCCCTACTAAAAAGTCTGTCTTCATCTTTCTAACAATCCCTACCATTCTGTGATTCTGATTCTTATAGGCCCCTTATAAGCACTGAAAGGCCGCCTAAGGTCTCCCTGGAGCCTTCTCTTCTCCAGGCTGAACAACCCCAACTCTCTCAGCCTGCCCTCACAGGGGAGGTGCTCCAGCCCCATGGTCATATTTGTGGCCCATCCCTAGACCTACTTGAGCAGGTTCATGTCTTTCTTGTACTGAGAATTCCAGCGCTGGATGCAGTGCTCCAGGTGGGGTCTCACCAGAGCAGTGTAGAGGCAGAGAATCACCTCCCTTGACCTGGTGGCCACGCTTGTTTTTATGAAGCTAGTTGGCTTTCTGGGTTGTGAATGCGCATTGCTGGCTGATGTCCAACTTGTCGTCCACCAGTACCTCCAAGTTCTTCGTGGCAGGGCTGCTCTCAAGCCCTTCATCCCCCA